TGCTGAGGATTGAACCCAGTGTCTCACACATGCTAGGGGAGCGTTCTGCCTCTGAGTCACAACCCCAGACCCACATTTATTCTTTAATGTGTCAAATACTTTAAAATATAAATGCAAGTGGGGAGTAGTGGTACATGCTCATAATCCCACCAGCTCTGGAGGCTGAGGCAGGAAGATCGAATAGGGTTGGGGATGTGACTTAGTGGTAGAGTGCCCCTGAGTTCACTCTCCCGTGCTTGCCCCCTCAATAATATATATAAAATATGAAATAATTTATAAAGTATCAATCAAAACCACATGTACATAGTTGTTTTTAAAACTTTTCATTTTTTATATCAGTATTCTTATTTAAAGGCAAATTTGGGTCAGTTTTAACAAGAAATAATTTTATTAAAAGTAATTCTTAAGATCTTTAGTCTGGGGTTAGAGATTTAGCTCAGTGGCAGAGCACTTGCTTGCCTAGCAAGCGCCAGGTCCTGAGTTCAGTCCTCGACTCTGGGAGAGAAAAAAAGTGAAGAAGCTCTCTAGGCCAATCAGGAAACCAGAATTGGAAGTTATAGTCTCCAGTGATATCTGAGAATTGCTTCAGTGAACTCTAGTCTCTACTGTTAGGCAGACACTGCAGATTACAGTACCAATCTGTTGACACTAGATATTGAGTTTTTGTCCCTGAAGAAAAACCGATCTTGCTGCTCTTCTGTGGAGCTAATGTAATAGCCATTGTTGGTCAATATTTTCTGCCATAATTTCCTGTTTCACTGTACCACTAACTTTAAAGTTTAAGGTAGATATTCCCTACCTGTAAAGTAGGCCGTGAAAACATATATCTGACACTTTCAAATTCTCTACCTCATTTGGTGAGGGATTCCCTAAACATACGAGTTAGGATATTAGGTAGCCAAGAAGGAAATGACAGATGTTTGCCACAGCCCATTCTTTTGGATATTTAACATCAATACATTCCTTTAACTAATACTTGAAAGAACCTGACAATGTGAAAGGCATTATTTTCTCAATATAATTTCTATTAATGGAATAGTCTCTTTTTTGAGAGTGGTATTGGAGATTGAATTCAAGAGCTCTTGACCACTGAACCACATCCCTATTTTGTATTTTATTTAGAGACAGGGTCTCACTGAGTTGCTTAGTGCCTTGCTTTTGCTGAGGCTGGCTTTGAACTCACAATTGTACTACTTCAGGCTCCCAAACCGCTGGGATTATAGGTCAGCACTGCTGGAATACTCATTTTACTTGGGCCAGCTACGTACCCATTCTCCTTTGCAGTTAGAAATAGCCACTTAACAGGCCAGGCAAATATGGCAATGGGAAATCCTTTGGAATTTCTGGAAGAGCTTTGTTTTTCTCATAAAAGGGTAATACCAGCCATTTCCTGTAGTTTTCTCCTGTCTTGAACATGGGCATGACATCTGCTACAGCAGCAACTTTCTAACAACTACAAGAAAATAGCACGAAGGATGAAAAGCAACAAAACAGAGGCAGATTGGAAAGACAGAGCTGTACCCTTCCTGTATGTGGTAAGAACCACCAATTAAGCATTGATCCTTTCAGTTACAAGCACAGGTACTCTCAACTATGCCATTCTGGAAAACAGATAATAGTTGTATCTCTTTAGTTGACTCCATTTACTGAATTAATGATATTTTCTAATGTATAAGCAGTTGAGTTTTTTTTTGCCCTATTAATAAAAATTGATTTTGCTAATCAAGAACCACGAACTGGGCCAGGGATGTGGCTCAGTGGTAGAGCGCTTGCCTAGCATGTGTGAGGCCCTGGGTTCAATYAATAATAAAACAAATAAAAAATAAAGGTATTGTATCCATCTACAACTAAAAAAAAAAGAGAGAACCACGACTGTACAATATTTGGCACTTAAAGGCACCTTAACTTGGTGGTTAAGAATGTATTTGAATAAAACAAAGAAATGTATTTAAGAGTAAGTGCCTAGACTGCCTTGGTTCCAGTCTAGATAAATAATAAGTTCCTTGTACCTGAGTAGCTGTAAAGTGGGGTACAGTTTACGTGGAGATTATATATCAGTACTGGATACACAATAAAGCATTCAATAAATGGTAATCATTATTGGCAGTACCATCTATACTTTGCTTCTGTGACACCAAGGTTTTCTGGTTCTCCTCCTAGCCATTTGTTGTCTCAAGTTTAAATAGTCTTTCCTGTTTCCTATACATATTTATATGGATTTATCATATTGCATTATATGACCCTTGCTTTTTACCCCTTACCATTCATCAGAAAATGTCAAGGCCTTTTTCAACTCACAACTTCTAATGCTTTGCATACAGTCTACATATTCTTAAACTTTTATCCTTACAGGTTACTCTGGATGATTATTAAAATACAAATTCCTGGATCCTATCCTCAAATTTCTATTTTAGCAGGTTAGTGAACCACATGTTGAGGAATATTGAAATATACCTTCAATGTTTGAATATGCATAAGGAACTGCTGTAATTAACACCTTATTAATATAAGATACTATTTGTAAGGTTACCTTGTTGAATATATTATGCTAATTATAGGACATTTATGGTCACCCCCCAATACTGGGGACTGAAACCTGTGGCCCCCTACCATTGAGCAACATCCCAAGCCCTTTTTAGTTTTTGAGATAGAGTGTCACTAAGTTGCCCAGCATGACCTTAAACTTGTGATCCTCCTGCTTCAGGCTCCTGAGTCCCTGAGATTACAGGAGTACACCACCACTCCTGGCTAATTACAAACTATTAAAACTGGCTAATATTCTCAAATAGGTTTTCACTAGAAATAATAATTTTATACTGAAATTTTGCAAACCAGTCAAGTTCCTCCATCTACGGCAAGACATTAATATTCACTGAAAGTGAAGAAGAGCATTCCTTCTCCATTTAATTTTCTAACTATACATTACCTTTATAACATTACCACTAGCCAGAATTTATATGTAGGGCACTGAAAACTCTTCACTCATAAAACAAGCTTTTATTTTTTTTTTCCCTTTTTTGGGGGGTTGGGGTAGGAGGGTTGCTAGGGATAAAATCCAGGGGCATCTTACCACTGAGCTACATACCTAGCCCTTTTTATTTTGAGACAGGTTTTCGCTAAGTTACTTGGGGCCTCAAACTTGCAGTCCTCCCACCTCAGCCTCCTGAGTCACTGGACATCAAGATTTTGATTTCCTAGGAGAAAAGGTTAACATATAGATTTACCCTGAAATCTGTGATGTAAAGAATTTCATAAACTGCTCTAAAAGAACAAAAGGCAAAGAATGCTATGTTATATCTTAATGAACTACTTGATAACTTTATCATTTTCAAGAAAACTTGGGGGCTGGGGATGTGGTTCAAGCGGTAGCGCGCTCGCCTTGCATGCGTGCGGCCAGGGTTCGATCCCCAGCACCACATACAAAAAAGGAAGATGTTGTGTCCACCGAGAACTAAGAAAAATAAATAAATGTTAAAATTCTTTCTCTCTCTCTGTCCCTCTCTCTCTCTCATTCTCTCTTTAAAAAAGAAAAAAGAAAACTTGGGCATGGCAGCTGACAAAAGATATAGGATACCTGCTTCCCAAATGGACTTGTGACACATACTTAGGGCTTACTTCAAGGCAAATAGCTGGACTAAAAGTTTACTTACTCTTGGAAAATGAAATAAAAATGCACACACTTGGTGGGTAGAAGTGTTTTCCATTTAAATTCTCTGCAGGATAGTGAAAAGAAATTTGACAAATTCTAAAATGACATATAACTGTTCATTAATACCCAGTAATCTAAGCAGTACATTGTCATTACTGGAATCAGATGCCTTTAAGACATTTTGGGGAGCTTTTGTTTGTTTTATCTGGAGTTCTTCAGAGCAGTACAAAAGAAGCTTTATATCACACAGAGCACTAGCAAATAACTCTTTAATATCATGTCTCTCCCATGCAGTACTAGGATGTCTAAGGATACTAGAAAATATTGACAGGTTTATTTGAACCATTATTGGAAAAACTTAAATGGCTAATATAACAAAGTAATTTAGAGTTCTGAAATGTGACTGGACTGAAATGGGAATGAGTTAATGAGTGAACCTGACTGACTACCCAGAATTTGAATCTCAAAGTCGCTTTGTTGTTGCCTATATAGCATTATAAATGTAATGACTTTCCTTAAGTAATAAAAATGCATTGATGTAAAAAAAATATGTCAAAAGAGCCAAATGCCAGTGCTAATAATGACATCCAAGTAGATGGTGGTTCTTAACTATAAAATAAAAGTTATATAAATTAAATATAGTATCTGGAACTATGATATGGATAAATACATGATACGCTCTTTACCCTAGGTAAACTACCTAAGTTGAAGGTTTCCTAGCAGGACAAAATCGAAAACTGACTACTTATACTTAATTAAATAAATAAATTACTTTTGGCATTTGAACAAAGTACTCATGTGAGTACACATACACAGGACAGATTACTCAGCATTCATTGAATGATATGATGACTATACTACTACTGGAGGGGAAAATAGTTGGCTTATTTAGTTTCAAGTACATTTCCTGGGATTTAGCAGTAAGTTCTCTCAAATTAAGAGTAAAGACACCCAACCACAAAGTGCCAACTCCTAGCACCAGAGAGAATCAAAACTTCACAGGTGAATGATATTACAAATCAGAGAATCTGCCAATCTAGTTCTGTGAAATCATGTTACTTCTGTCAAATGGAAAAAAAAATTCAGGTTTATGCCAAAAAGATGTAAAAAGTTAAATCTCTTAAAAAAATCTTTAGCAGTGTATCTTATGATCCTCTATAAAATAAGAGAACTGGTTTATAATAAAATGCTCAAAGTTTCAGAGATATGAAAACAAAAAAGAACAGAAAACAGTTTATATAAATCGAGGTCCCAGAAATGAAAATTAAAGGTAGTCTTACAGAGGAAGGAATGGTGAAACACAGTGTATATTCTCACAATATACCCCAAAACTATTTTGTGGACACCAACATTGACTGGGAATTCTAAACTGCTGCCTAATATCTATAATCAACACTAAATCAAGTCTGAGGCAAGACACTGGATGGATAATACTTAGATGGAAAGATAAATTCCTTCCTAGATAATCTTCAGCCATCACTTGGAAGTTCAGTTATTTGATGGGTTGGGAAGCAGTGTCCACTGAATTTTCCTTTCTGACCTGAAGAGACTCACTGCTGATGGACAATAATTCTCGAAGTTCTTTATTTTCAAGCTGGGGAAAAAAAAAAAAAAGGCGGGTTTATTTTATTTCCTGTATTTTTATTGTCAAACTGTGTCAGAACACATTGTTTGGGGCCAGGAACAGAAAACATTTTAGTTTTAAGGAAACAAATCACTAGATAAGAATTTCCTAAATACTAGTTATTTACTCATTTAAAATTTGTGGAGTAATTTTTATATACCAAGTGTTAGGACTACATAGAAAGAACAACACAAGGTTCCTTTTCACTTGAGGAATTTATTGTTTGTCATACTCTTCTTGTTCCCACAAGTTTTACTACTGTTTTTCAAATTCTTAATGATCTCTTCACTCTTGATTAATTTCCTTTCCTAGATATCCAATAGTTTTAGAAAATGGATAAAAAGGGAGAGACGATAAACCAATTACTGAGCTGTACCTAGGTACCATGTCAGTGCATTATATATGTTATTTCCTAACAATCTTTAGGGTAGATATCATTGCCTACATGCATATTTTATTTAAGATGAAGATACTTGGGCTCACAAAGCTCCCAAAATGTGTCCACATTCAGACAACTTGGATGTAGTACTTTTGGGTCCATGTTTTTTTCACTGGAATTATTAAGTAAAACTTGTCCCACATTTCCTTAGGGCTGTTTCTTTAACTGAGACAAATCAGGGATAATAAAAAGAAGTTTGCTCTATTAACTAACTACTAATCCCTACTTGGGACCTGTCACTCCCTTTGATTTCCAGATGGAGTTTCATCATTATTTTCTCTGCAGGAATTCTGGTAAACCATAGTATTTCCGGGTTTGCCAAAGAGGTCAGAGCCCATGGTCAATAAATCTTTGAGACCACATAAAGATACTTTGGTATGTTTCTTCTGGCACTTAAATAACATTTCATATTATGTAAATAACTAGTCTTGTTCTTTCCACTGGACTTTGGACTTTTTTTCTCTAGTATTTCTTTTTTGTTTGTTTTTTCAGACTTGATCTCTCTATGTTGCCCAGGCTGGCTTAGAACTCCAGATCCTGCTGCCTTATCATCCTGGCTTTCTGCTATTTCTCAAAGGGCCCATGATAACTCCTTGCAGCAAGCACCAAATCATCTACTAATATGTTTTTTGGGCACACTATTTACACTAGGTATTTCTTTTGTAATATATTTCTATTTTAATCAAAATATTACATGGAAATAGCTTTAAAAAGTTAAATCTATAAAATAAATAGAGGTTTCTTGGCTTTGTTCACTCTTTTTATCTATTTTGATTTTTATTTCCATAATTCTAAATAATATGGGTCTACTGCCACTTACCCTGCTCCCCCACCCTCCACCCCCCCATTGATGGTTCTGGGAAGTAAACCCAGGGACTTGTGGATGATTAGCACGTGCCGTGCCACTTAACTACATCCCTTGCCCTACCATTCCCTCAATTTTAGACATTATTTGACTTATTACAGTAAATGAGGGATTTCAGCTCACATGTAACCTGTTCCTTCCACTCTCTACTCTCCCAATGTGATAATATCTCAACTTCCAGTTAATACATAGTTGATATTTTCATTGATTATAGTTTACTACATTTCCTTTCCTGAAAAGAGTATGAAGGAAGAATTTTAAGTTGTGAGCGCACACAGAAAACATAAATACATTGCCATGACAGGTTAATGTCTAGACTCTACAAAGTAAACTGTGAAAAATTGTGAACCTAAAAAAGCAACAATCTTACCTCCAATTGTGCTAGTTTTTCTTGAATTTTACAAAACTGATCATCATCCACCTGAACTGCTTTCCTCATCACTTCTCCCATTTCACAGATTCTATCAATCTGACTTTCAATTTCCTGTGAAAATATTAAGGGAAAAAGTGATATTTCCTATACATATGAAGAACAGGATCGTATGAACTGATTTTTTAAAAAGTTCATTTAAAAAAAAACAGTTCAGGCTGGCATTGTGGCTCAGTAGTAGAGCACTTGCCTAGCATGTGTGAGGCACTGGGTTCGATCCTTAGCACCACATAAAAATAAAAACAAATAAAATAAAAATATTTTGTCCATCTACAACTAAAAAAAAAAAAAAAAAGGAAAACCAAACCAGTTACCTTGAAATATATAAATGTGTTAATAGGAAAAACAAAAACCTTCATTCAATCTATGCCATAGAAGTTGCACCAGAATTAACCAATAATCTGAGCCATAATAAAGTGAGTTTGTGGTATTCACACTCAACAGATCAGTTGTAGTCTAACTACCCACTGGAAGTTGGACTTTAGGTAGCTATTTAACTCAAGTTTGAATACTTTTATTGGCAGGAAGTTTATCACAGTATGAGGTTCCTTTATCTTTGGCTATATCTCTTAGAAAGTATTTCCATATGAGCTAAATTCTTATCTTTTTAAAGTTTTCTCTGGACCACAGAAAATAATTTTTTTTTCTTCCAGATGAAAGATACTCAAATATCTAAAATATYCCTGTTCCCTAAAATTTTGAAAATGCATTCAATGAACATATTTCAGTACACTTCCCCTGAAGCAAATAGTGAGGTTCCAATCTATTAATCCAGGATTAAATGATATAGTACATGTGAATGTACAATGACAACTATGAAAAACTGTACAAATAGAACAATAATACTGGGGGGGGGGCTGGAAAGTAGTTCAGTTGGTAGAATACCTGCCTCACATGCACAAGACCCTGGGTTCAATCCTCAGCACCACCAGGAAAAAAAAAAAAAAAAGCACAATACTGGGTCTCTCAAATTAAATCGGCACTGACTAATGTATAAAAACTGTCATTTAAGACAAAACAAAACATTTCTCTCAAGTAACATAGTATGATTAGTTTAACACAGCTTTACTGACTGCCTGATATGTGCCAGAAACTAGGTTAAGGAAAAAATACGAATGTATGCTCCCCTAAACCATGAAGCTTACAATTCAGTCAAATGTACCAATTACAACCAACCAAGTGTTTACTGAGCACCTTCAACACCAACTTGCATTATAGTTCATGAAAAAACTAACATCTTGAAAAAGAGATCTTGTTGAGGGCAGAGGGGAACATAGTCCCACTCAAAAGGACTTGAGCAGCTTCTTCTCCCCTTCTTTTTAGCCATATCTTTACAAAGCCACAACAAAACAGACAATGAATATGTACTCTCTTTTCTCCAAAACAAGTATACAAAGTGAAACAGTCTCAAAATTTCAATTCAGTTCATTTATAATTTATTTATCAGATTTCTTACTGCAGAGTGAGACTGATGAGCTTTCAGAACTGGTTCAGCATCCACTGCTTTTTTTGCAACCATTAACTGTAACATCTGTTTCCGGTATTTGCTCATGATGAGTTCCAAAGCATCCTGATGTTCCTCCAAAGAAACCCACAGTTCTAACAAAAAAATAAAATACCTTGGTAGTGAGGTCTGAGAGATAGATCCYAAGGTTAAACTCTTAACAGAATTTTACCATACTCAATGAGATATTATTAATTCAAAGTGAAAAAATTACATTTTCTACATATATGAAGAACATGATCACAAGCATTATGATTTTTAAAAGTTCATTTTAAAAAGTTATCTTGAAAAACATAAAACATGTTAACGGGGAAAACAAAAGCTCATTCAATCTATGCACAGAAATTGCACTACAATGTGAACCATAATATAGTAAGATCAGATTTAGTGTTTAAGTCTACAAAATTGAACAGCTACAGTGTACATAAAAAATAACTTTCTAGGCTGAGTGTATTGCCCCACACCTGTAGTCCCAGTGACTTGGGAGGCTGAGGAAGGAGAATCAAAAATCTGAAGCCAACCTGAACAACTTAATGAGGCTCTGTTTCAAAATAAATAAAAAGGGTTGGGGATGTGGCTCAGTAGTAGAGTACCCCTTGAATCAATTGCAAAAAACTAAAAACAAAAAACAAAAACTTTGTAGGCATAGGCAGCATAGTCTGGTAGAAATAAAACGGGATGTGTAATCAGAAGACATGGTTTGATTTCTGTGACTTAGTTCCTTAGTACTCAAAACCAATTGTTTAACATCTCTGAAGCTCTTTTTTAACTGCATTATGAAGCTTAACTTCAGTGTTTATTCTAATGAATACTTAAGTATTAAATTTTAAGGCTCTGAGAATATAAACTCTTTTTAAATGCAAGTCTCCGTTTGGTATACCCTAAAGGAAAAAAAAAAAGGCATCTAATAATTCAACTGTGTAAGCATCTCTTTGATAAACTGTTAATACACATTAAAAGAAAAAAAATCAGTAGATGACCTTACAAAGGGTAATCTGGAAAACTTTATTGTTAGTAATTAAACCTCATAGTAAGAGCACTGACCCGTAAATAAACATAGGATATGCACTTTTATGAACTTTTACTGGGTATGAGAAATATCTTAAATACACAAAAAGACCCTACTAACCTCTGTTTTCCTGCTGTAAGTCTCTAATCTGTGTGTTCTCTTGAGACAGCAGAATGTGAGGCTTGTATCTTGACATGTCCTTCACGTCGGACGCATCTTCTTGATACTGGACAAACAGACACACTAAGCGCACGATAAACAGTACAGTGGCAGATGCAACTGAAAGCAGTAGTCAGGGATCCAGTGCAGGGATCCTGACCCCGATCTCGCAACAGTTCTCACCACAACCCTCTGGAATCGGGAATAAACTCCAAGCCGAGACCCTATTTCACATCTCTCCTCCCTTCCAGTGCCTAGAACCCGAGGGCCCAGGACCTCTACCCTCTGCCTGACCTGGTCCGGAAGCGCTGTCCCCGCCTCCCGCATAGCGGCCACTCGTCGGTGCAGCGCGGCCGACTGATCCACCAGAGACTCGGCGGCCGCATCGTGCTCCCGCAGCCTCTCCAGCAGTGTCTTGGCGTCTGTCAGGATCTTCTCGATGGTGCAGTTCATAGCGGTAGGAATACCCCGGCCCCTGCCCTGCTCACCTAGGCGGTAMGCACTAGTAGTCCCCGGACCTGTCTCAGCGTTACAAGCGTCACTTCCGGGCACGTTTCAAAGGCGCCTGGCAGCATGTATGTGCGCCTGCGCAGTGGCAGCCCAGCCCTTGGGGTGATCCGCTTTAACCTGCGGCTTCCCTGTAGCCTCGCCAGGCCCGGGAGTTCCGCCCTTGCCCCGCCCTCTGTTCCCAGTTCCCACAGCCGGGAGGTTAATATGGTAGGGCTGACAGGTCTAAGGTTCTTCGTTCTCTGCTGTTTTTGATTGACGTGGTTTGTTGTTCAGTCATAGGTGGTTGGTTTTTTTTTTTTTTTTTTTGCTTTTGTTTTTTATATTGTGGTGCACCTACTTACTCTCTCAACTTTTTTTCTGCGTTTCAGGTGCTGGGAATCTAACCCATACATGCTAGGCAAGCGCTCTACCACTTGGCTACATCTTCCAGCCCAGTCAACCCTTCTTAAGTGTACATATAGTTCGGTAATTAGGTGTATTCAAATTGTGCAACCATCATCAACAGTCATCTCCTGAACGCGTCCATCTTGCAAAATTGGAACTCTATAGCTATTAAGCAATTCTCTTTCTCCTCTCTAAGCTCCTATCAATTACTATTCTACTTTCTGTTTGTGTAAATCTGACTAGTCTTAAGTACCTCAGGTAAGTGGAATTGTTGTGGTGTAAACTAATAAATAAAATCAGTAAGAGTGTAAGTTATAGGTTATAGATTAGTAATATATATRTATATATATTATAGAAATGATAAGTGAGATAAGACCATTATAAAGCAAGAACTGTCATAGACAGGCTTAAGACTCCATTTTGTTGCCTTCTATAAAAATCTGTTTCTATGAAACCTGTTTTCTTATAACAAATTGTATCGCACTCAGGATGCAGGTGGTGTGGTGAGCTACATCCTGGGTTTGAGTGCACGTGTGGGTCTACATGACTTTGAAATAGATTCTCGCCCCTTCAAACCCCTGCTCAAACTCAGGATACTCTTGTCTAGCACCTGCTTGAACCCAGGAATTGCAAAGCTAATTGCTTTTTTCTAGCTTCTGTACTTGCTTGCTTGCTAACTGGAAAATTAGCCACTGAGTTGTGGTTTTTGTCCATAAATTCTCAAAAAATGGACCAGGAAGCTGCTGTTCTCCTACAGAGCTTCAGTCTCTTTGGGTGGGTGACTGTCCCTGGCCAGGTAAATAAAGCTCTCATTGATTTGAATTCGGACTTAAGAGTGTTTTCTGAAGCAGCTTCCCATAACAGAACCATACAGTATTTGTGTTTTGGGGATTGACATTTACCTTAGTATAATATTCTCAAGGTTCATCCATATTTTAGTATGTGTCAGAATTTCTTTCCTTTCTAAAGGATAATAATATTACATTGTATGTATATTTTACATTTTGTTGATCCTATTGTTCTTCTGTGGACTCAGGTTGATTTCACTTTTGGGTGGAATATAAATAATGTGCCTATGAACATGGGTGTTCAAGTATCTCTTTCAGACCTTGCTTTYAGTTCTTTGGGTATAAAATGGGTAGAAGTGGAATTGCTGGGTCATATGGTAATTCTATTTAAATTTTTTTGAGGAACCATGATATTGTTTTCCATAGCAACTGTACCACTTTACATTTCCACCAACAGTGCATAAGTCTTCTGATTTCTCCTCATCAACACTTCTTATTTTTTATTTTGCATTTGATAGTAGTCATCTTAAATGGGGTGAGGTGGAGTCAACATTATTTTCTGCTTGCTTCTTGTTTTTTGGTTTCATTAAGAAGTTGAAAATAAATCTAACTAGAACAGTAGTGATTTCTGTGCTGTTTATTATATTGGTTTATAAGAGTTTACCAGTCAACCTTGTATGTCAAACTTTGGACTTTTTTTATTCATTAACATATACTTTTGGAGATTCTTCTTTGTTTCATGCACTGTTTAATCCCTGTGAATACAGCAGAGAATAAGACACAAGGTCTCTGTTCTCAGGAAGCTTGTATTCTAAACAGGAGAATAAGTTTATACTGTAAAACATAATTGAAGGCAAGTAAGTAGAGGTCACAGAAGCAGTAGAGAAGGCTTTTCACCATTGTTTTCCCAGCAGCTGGCACACAAATTTGACACAGTCTAAAACTGATCTCATTGTTTTTGCTTCTAAACCCATCCCTCCTGTTTCAGAAAAGAGCAGGTTGATATACCCATCTGCCCAGTAAAAGTCAGCCTTCCATTGCTGTGCAYGGTTGCACACGCCTGTAATCCCAGCAGCTCAGGAGGTTGAGGCAAGAGGAAAGAGGATCACAAGTTCAGAGCCAGCCTCAGCAAAAAAGCGAGGTGCCATGCAACTCAGTGAGACCCTGTATCTAAATAAAATACAAAAGAGGGCTGGGAATGTGACTAAGTGGTCGAGTGCCCCTGAGTTCAATCCCTGGTACCAAAAAAAAAAAAAAAAAAATCAGCCTTCCTTTGACTCCTGATTTCTAGAGACATCCATGGTTGTACCCTGGGTCATTCACCAATCATTATTTCTTTTTTTTTTTTTTTTTAAAGAGAGAGTGAGAGAGGAGAGAGAGAGAGAGAGAATTTTTAATATTTCTTTTTTAGTTCTCGGCAGACACAACATCTTTGTTGGTATGTGGTGCTGAGGATCGAACCCGGGCCGC